CTTGCAAAACCCTTGGCTGATCCTGTGACGACACCTGTAGGGCCCAGCCAGGGTCAGAGTCTGAAGCAGCAGCTGCACAAGGTCCACGTCACCAAGTGTTGCCAAACCCAACGTCACTCAGGAGCAGGAGACTTCCCAGGGGCACACGAACCACGTAAAGACTCAACGACCAGGGGTAACTGCAGGATCTTGGGCAACGTTTCCCAACCACAGGCACTACGTGCACCAGCGACCGACCAGGACATCAAGCAAAGGGGCCTAGGATGGCAGCTCTGACCTGAAACTTGTACCAGCAGCTTGGCTGGCTCTGGCCACAAATTAACACACTGTACTTAACATCAATCTGCCCTGCTGCCCCCCTCCCCTTTCCTCATTTTTCCCTCTCTCATGCTCTACTTCTCTAAGCGAACACATCCCACCTTTTATCCTGGATGTTCCAGGCTGCAGGATTAAGGCAAAACACTAGTTTACAGTGCAACCTAGTGAGCTGCTTTGTTGGCAGGGCACCTCAGGAAGAGCAACCCCTCCCAGGGTGGGCTTTTCCACCTGCTACTCCCCACTTTTTTCCTCCAAAGGTCCTTTTTCCTACTTGAAAGCTTCACAAAATTATCAACTCTGGATGGGAAGGAAAAGCCACCATGCTCAGGACAGGCTGACATGCTGTGTTTGAGGGAAAGGGAAGAGGCCCTGGACAAGCAGAGGGAGGAGGCCAGGAAGCCTCAGCCTCTCCACAACACAGACTCTGAAGCACTGAAGTGACAACTCGACTCAGTAAATTTGATTGGCCAAGAGTAACTTGGGCATCACTGCTAGTCTGCAGTGAACACTGGGTATGGGGACAGATGGTCCTCAGCTCCTCTCAAGAGGAATCATAGAATCACCAGACCCAGAAAAGACCCTTAAGGTCACCAAATCCAGCCTCCAAGCTGCAGAATCTCAACTCAGGCAAGGTATGTCAACCCTTTTCATTCCTCCGTGGGTCAAGCCCATGTGTGGGGAGAGTTGAGGGAGGACTCAAAGCCCCTGTGCCCTGCTCTGGGCCTCCCTCTTCCCTCCTCTCTGACAAAACCCCCCTCGGGTTGTAAGAAACATGAATCGTTGAGGGGCTCCCCCCAGCGGGAACACAGGCCCCCGGCAGCAACTCACAGCCTGAAAACAGCCCCCCCAGGGGCACTGCGACCCGAGGGGCTGCCCCGTGTCCTGGGGAGGGGGTGGGGACACGAGGAGGGGGT